GTTTGAACCCGCCAGCCTCGGTGTTTGTGGCTGGCGCCCTACTCACTGAGCTACAGGCACCACCCAGAATTGTACATTTTAAAATGATTAACTTTATATTATATTAATTTCTCCTCAATTAACAAAAAAGAATTTAATGACCGGGCCAGGCATGGCGGTTCAGTCCTGTAATCCCAGCACTCTGGGAGGCCGAGGCAGGCGAATTGTCTAAACTCACGAATTCGGAATTCCAGACTGGCCTGAGCTAGGGTGAGACCCCATCTCTAAAAATGACCAGATGTTGTGGCAAATGCCTGCAGTCCCAGCTACTCTGGAGGCTGAGGCAAGAGAATTGCTTAAGCCCAAGAGTTTGAGGTTGCTGTGAGCTGTGACACCACAGCACTCCACCGAGGATGACATAGTGAGACTCGTCTGAAAAAAAAAAATCTAGGCATGGTGGCGGGCACCTGTATTAGCTACTCAGGATCACTTGAGCCCAACAGTTTGAGGTTCCTATAAGCTATGACACCAGAGCTCTCTATTGAGGGTGACAAAGTGAGACTCTGTTTAAAAACAAGTTTCAAAACAGAGTCAAAAATTTTTTTCAAAGTAAAAATTGCAAAGAAAAATAAAGACATGTAGTTGTGGCTCCTGAATACCTCCCACCCTACGTCTAACATTCGGAGACTGACCGCCTTTCAAAGTCTTGGGACTTATCCCAGATGAAAGCCCTCAATCAGCCCACCCAGGGCTGGCATCTGTTCTAGTATGGAGGCGGGACCAGAGGCTGGCTCAGAATTTAGTTTCACTTTTGCTTTCTCCCCAAAATGACAGAGGAACAAGAAAGAAAACTGTGACATCACAGTAGGATGTGTTTTTCACTACTATAACGTTGGTGCCTGTTTGCACTAGCCACAGCTGGGCACTGACTCTTGCTGTGACCACGTCCCATACACAGACACTATCTATAAGCACTGCAGCCTGCTGTTCAGTCCCAGACTGGAGGATGGATGTCCTGGAGTCTTCCAAGCTGCTGGATGAGGAACTATACTCAAGACAGCTGTGAGGCCTGAGGTGGGGTAGAGAGTAGGGTGGCCTTGAGACCTCCAATCTATAACTACATGCCCTCCCTACATCCCATCCACAGGTATGTGTTGGGTTCACCTGCCATGCAGAGAATTCAGAAAGCCAAGGTCTTGCTGTCAGGCCTACAGGGTTTGGGGGCTGAGGTAGCCAAGAACTTGGTCCTGATGGGTGTGGGCAGCCTCACTCTGCATGATCCCAACCCCACCTGCTGGTCTGACCTGGCTGCCCAAGTAAGTGCCCTGGGGGACTATGGGCTTCCAAACCAAGGTGGAGACAGGGCCCAAGAGGAATCTCTTTCCTCAGGCTGTACTGGTTTTCTCCCTAGCTTTTCCTCTCAGAGAAAGACTTGGGAAGGAGTAGGGCTGAAGCTTCTCAAGACCTCTTGGCTCAGCTCAACAGAGCTGTCCAGGTCTTTGTGCACACAGGTGACATCACTGAGGACCTGCTATTGGATTTCCAGGTCAGCCCAGTCCCCCTGTCTAGCCTTCAACAGGGAGGGCTGGGAAGTGGTTCTGCTGATCATGATGTCCACCCAGGTGGTAGTGCTGACTGCCTCAAAGCTGGAAGAACAGCTAAGGATGGGCACCTTTTGCCATAAGCATGGAGTCTGCTTTTTGGTGACTAATACCTGGGGCCTTGTGGGGTAAGTGAGACTGCCTGCCCAAACTATCACATTACAGCCAACAACTGATCACAGTGCTGTCCCCAGCTCTAGTCTTCCCCCTCTGTTACACCTGAGGCCTTCGGCATTCCCTCCTCATTCTGGTTCCCAGTCCCAAGGGCCCTCTGGGCCTGACCTAGGGTCCACTACCCTTAACTGCAACCTGTGAGCCACCTCACCCTACCCTACCCCAGGCAGTTGTTCTGTGACTTTGGTGAGGACTTCACTGTGCAGGACCCAACAGAGGCAGAACCCTTGACAGCTGCCATTCAGCACATATCCCAGGTGGGTGCTGAGCTGTGGGCACTCATCTGCTGACCAGGGAGGGGCTGATAGGGCATATGGAAGGCAGTTACAGGCACCCTTGAGCCAAGCCACTTTCTTACCCAGGGGTCCCCCGGCATTCTCACATTGAGGAGAGAGGCCAATACCCACAATTTCCGTGATGAGGACTGGGTGACTTTCTCAGGCATCGAGGGCATGACTGAACTCAATGGCTGTGCTCCCCGGTCCATCCATGTACGGAGTAAGTCAATCCCATTCTAATTTCAAGGTCAATGCCCAAGTTTCTGTGGGGTCTGAATATAGCCTAGTTCTTAGGGATAGGTTCTCCTTCAATCTTCCTCAGGGTACACCAAGGTCTGGGACACAGATACAAGATAGGATGGGATGTGGAAACTACTCAGGTTCAGGGGTCATGCTGACTAGGCTGGATCTTCCCCAGAGGATGGGTCCCTGGAGATTGGGGACACAACAACTTTCTCTTGTTACTTGCGTGGTGGGACTGTCACTGAAGTCAAGAGACCCAAGACTGTGAGACATGTGAGTGCAAGTGCATCTGAGGTGGGGGAGCTTGGGTGCCCTGAGGGGCCCATAAGTATCCTGGACCTGACCCCGAGCCAACTGTCCCTGCAGGAACCCCTGGACACAGCCCTGCTCCAGCCCCGTGTGGTGGCCCAGGGTGCTCAGGGAGTCCACCGTGCCCACTGCCTGCATCAGGCCTTCCGTGCACTGCATATGTTTCAGCACCTAAATGGCCGACCACCCAAGCCCTGGGATTCTGTGAGTGACCCTGTTGCCCCTACCTCCACCCTCTGTCTTATTGAGGTTTCACTTGTCAGAAGACAATGACCATTCACAGATCCAAGTTTGAATCCCAGAGGAAGTTTTCCCTGTCATCAAAAGGAGATGAAAAACACTATCCCAGGTGGCACCTGTGGCTCAAAGGAGTAGGGTGCCAGCCCCATATGCCAGAGGTGATAGGTTCAAACCCAGCCCTGGCCAAAATCTACAAAAAAACCTACCACTATCTCTAGACTACAGCCTGGTTCCATGGAAGTGCCAGGCATGCATCATGGGGATCCCTACTACATCCTAACCTTTCAGATTAGTAATGGAAGCTACACCCAGATTGACAAAGCCTCCAGGGCTGCTGTTGGTCCAGGCATCGTCTGGGGGTGCTGCACAGGCTGGAGACAAGGCCAGGCCTTCCCCCTCAGGCTTCTGCTTCCCCTTTTGTGGAACAGGATGGATAGCTGCCTGAAGGATTGGAGTGGGAGTTGGTGCTCAGGCTGAGGCCACTATGCCTACAGAATCCCACTCTATAGGTTGATGCAGAGATAGTGGTACGCCTGGCCCAGGACCTGGAACCAATAAAGGGGACAGAGGAACAGCCACTGGATGAAGTCCTGGTGCGGACAGTTGCCCTGACTAGTTCTGGTGTCTTGAGCCCTATGGCAGCCATGATGGGTGCAGTGGCTGCCCAGGAAGTGCTGAAGGTACTTGATGGGGGTGGAGGATGACTCAGAATTTATCGAGGTCAGAGTATGTGCTAGAGGGCATCCAGTACCAGACAGTCACCCTAGGGCAGTGGTTCTCAACCTTCCTAATACCACAGCCCTTTAATACAGTTCCTATGAGTCGCAACCCACAGATTGAGAACCACTGCCCTAGAGGCTTCACCAATTTAGGTACAACCTCTAGCTGGGGTCTGAGGGGTTAAGAATTGGCAGGAGGGCAGGGTGTGATGGCTCATGCCTGTAATCCTAACACTCTGGGAGGCCAAGGAGGATGGATTGCTTGAGCTCACGGGTTCAAGATCAGCCTGAGTCAGAGCAAGTCCCCGTCTCTACTGAAAAAAA